GTGAGGGGTGAGGAACAAGCTACTGTCTTTAGGAATCACTCAAGTCATACTGAAAAGACCTTGGTCAATCTTGGAGGGATCTAACTTTGTTCTTTTCCAGGATATGTCCGTTCTTCCGGTGTCGTCAAATGCAAGAAACATCGGAGTTGATTTTATTGCCTTACAATTACATTATCGATCCACAATTAAGAAAAATTCATAAGATCGATCTCAATGGAAGTATAGTCATCTTTGATGAAGCTCATAATTTGGTAAGTGATATGCTCTACTCCAATATATGTTCAATGTCAACAGGGCCCTTTTTAGGAGAGCATTTGCGAAGAGGTCGTTTCAGTGGAGATTTCCTCTGTCAATATATCCTTAGCAATCACCGAGCTTAAAGAAGCTATCCAGTGCTTACAGCAGGAAACTGAAGAATTGAGGAATGAACTGGTATTACTTGAATTATGGTATTTTCTAATTTCTATTTATGGAATTTAACCCTGTTTGTATCTCTAGATGCGTTCTGCCAAAATTTGAAAAGTCCGCTTTTTTTGGAGTTTTGGTCCATTACCTTCTGGTTTTCTTTATTTCTGTCTCCGTTAGGAGTCAGCTGATTTGGATTTTCCTTGAGAATTCCGTTCAGGACAATTCTTCCCAAGCATTCGGTAGTGGGACAGCGGAGTCTGAAAAACTAAAAGGCCCTCCTTTTCAAGTAGGCGATGCGGCTGTACTGTTGTGTAAGTCTTACCGAACACACTGATTGTTACTGTTACCATAGTGATTGATTTACCCCTAGGATGTACAGTTTAGCGTGGTGTTTTAGCAATGCTCTTCGAACTCGAGGTGAAAGTCGAGGCAACTTTCAATGATAAGTCTGGTCGCAACCTTGAAGGATTCTCTGGGAAGGTAAGAAATCCTTGTTATTTCTCGTACTTGTACAATCGGAATTATTACTGCTGTTTCCATAGGTGTTTCCCGGTGACCGCCTTCTGGAAACCTTCGAAGGCGCTGGTTTTTCCTTCGACAAAGCGGATGCTGTATCGAAACTGCTTTCTGATATTACTGACTACCTTCAGCGCGAGAGTAGGTCGATCGATAATCTCAACTTTATTCTTATATAGTGCAATTTTGTATGTGGTTTCCCTTGTAGCTGATGTGAAGCCAGCCTCGGCTGAACGAGGGAAGAATCTCGAACTTTTGAGAAGTTTTATTTCGGTTGTGTATTTGAGTCTGTCCAAAGAAGCTGCACTCGCTATCACGAGGGAAAAGGTATCACTTACTATCATTACTTATCATGCTTTTTTAAAATTTATTTAAGTAAGTAAAGGGAAGGCGAAAGATCTTGAGAAGCCTTCCTGATTCCTACCTATCTAAGCCGCAGTAGCATACAGCTTCCACTTAGGGGTCCATCAATGTGAATTCAATTTGAAGAGCTCTTTGTCAGTGCTGTTAAAGCTTGAAGAACGTTTTTGAAGGTCAACGCTGGGGCCCTAAAAACTGAAAACATCACCATAGACCCCAAAAGAGTCGGTCGGCACTTCAAATTGTACATCGTGAAGGAAGAAGAGACTGCTGATAAACCAGCTTGTGTAAGTAATTTCTTAGTAAAAGTCTCCATTTCGCGCTATCATCCTATCATTACAGACGGTTATGAAATTTTGGTGTTTCTCTTCTTCAATAGCGATGCGGGCACTTAAAATGAATGGGGTACGGAGCGTAATTGTGACAAGCGGCACATTATCACCACTAGCCAATTTTACACGAAATATTGGGCTGTGAGGTTTTGTCCTGTATTTTTGGGTCCTCAGACGATTTTGTAGCA